AGTTATATATTTCAACCCACCAACCCGTCTCAACCCGTCCTGTTGGGTTGTGGGTCAAAACGGGTTGGCCCGCCGAGTCAATTTTTTTTATTTTTTTTTACAATTAGATAGTGTTTTATTTGTTTTTAAGCTTTTGTGATATTCAATTTTTTGTTATCTTAGTTCTCTCTAGAAAAAATATAGAAGAAAAACTTTATTTATGACAAAAGAAATTTATGTATGGAGATAAAAACAAGTTTGTAAAGAATATATGACTAAATATTAGCATACATTTAGACTTAAGATTGAAAAAAATTAAGGAAAATGAGATATGAAAATAAGTAATATTATAATATTACTAAAATATAATTTATTTTTTATTTTTTAAGCGGGTTGACCCGCCAACCCGTCAACCCTCCATAAAACGGGGCAGGCTGGGGATTTCAACCCAAATTCAAGATGCGGGACGGGGCGGGCCAACCCACTTTTGGCAGGTTGGCGGCGGGCGGGCCGACTCGTTTTGCCACCTCTACCCTCAACAACATTAAACTCATATTTTTCAAATCCATCTACATTGAAATGACATATGTCAGCCCCTCTCTCTGGTATTAATCTTTTGTATTTAGCTGGTATAAGTGGTTTTAGTAGAACTCGTTGTATTTCTTCCTTTTAGCCTGTGTTGGGATTTTAACCCCAACCAGGATATAAAAAAAAAATTTGACACGCATCACATTCTCTTAATTTATTATTCCCTAAATTACTTCAGCATTGGAAGCTGAAGTTTGAGGTTATTGTAGAAGAATATACTAGCAAATAAAATTACAAAAAATATTAAAATTAGTTCTACATTTTTTTCTGACAAGATGAAATAATTTTGATTTTTTATAAAAATAATAATAATGCATGACCCGATCGAGTCACCAGATTTGGCTAGGTGCGATGCATGACTAGTCCAATACTTGACCCGAATCAGTCTGATGATCGGTTCGTCGGGCCAGATTTCACAACAGTGGATAAATCAATTCCCTCAAAATTTTAAGTTGCGAAATTTTATAATATTTATCAAATAAAGGGATATCGTTTTCTTATGTTGTAGGAAAAAAATTACCTCATGTTGTAGAAATAAAAGTATAAGTTGGATCCACAGGTAAGAGGAGAGAGAAAAAATTAGTGGGACCAACCCCTTCTTGTGTGTGTAGGAGAGTTATTTTTCTCATGTAAAATGAGATAAATATACCCCTTAAATAAATAGGATAGCAAATTGAATTCTAAATAATTTTAATTATAAAAACTCTGATATGATATAATGAAATCAATTAGCTCAAAAGATGGAAAATAAATAATTTTTAATTCTCCTAAATATTATCTTTGAAAGAAATTTAAAATTTTAATTATCAACTTGCTCCAAATAAAATTATTCTCCATGTAAAATACCTGTACTTTTTAAAAAATAATAATAATAATTTTATTACGCTTTCTTTTCTTCTTTTTTGGGGTGAATTTTTATTACACATTTCTAAATTCTAACAAATAGTGCAAGCTTTTACCATTTCATGAAAGGAAGAACACGTGGTGAATGTCATAGCTGTTGTGATCCGCCAAGTCTTTACAACCTAACATTGATTTTTTATTTTTAAATAAAAATATTTTTCCCCCGCCTAAAACAAGTAGGTGTATTTCCACAATTTTTTTGGTAATTTTTTTTTAATTTAATGCAAGAAAATTGCATGCACACTCCTCATATTTCATTTGTGCAAAAATTTGCATCATATAAAATGTGTATTCTTGGTATGTACATTTAAGTTGCACACACATTTCATTCGCCTCTTACGGAAGGTGACAAGTGACAGATATATTTTAACTTTTGCATAAATTAATGGTGATGCGCAATTTAAATATGCACAATTGATATGTATGTTTCATTTGTATTAGATTAATAAATAATTTAAAAAAATTAAATCGATAAAATTTATTGAATTCTGCATCAAAATGGTTAAAAAGCTCCTCCTTAGAATAAGAGTCCTTGTGTTTGGCCTTTTCAAAAAAGTAACTTTTATTTCTTCTTTATTTTATAAGTGTTTTTTATAAAAGTCAAAGCTATTTATATTTTTATAAAAATATTTAGTTTTTTAAAAAAATAATTAACTTTTGACTTCTGCTTTTTTTAGAAGTTAAAATTTTTAGCTTTTGAAAAAAAGTAAATTTTTGGCTTTTGTTGTGACTTCTAATTTTTTTAAAAGCAGATATCAAAATAAACTAAAAACGAGAAGTGTTTTTTATTTTAAGAAAAAAAATAGTTTTTGGAGAAAAAAAATCATCCAAACATACCCCAAGTGATGCAACCTATTACGGTGAGAAAAATTTGAACGATTTCCTTGTAGGATAATAAGCCAGTGGCGGAAACTTGTACCGTATCATGAAAGGAAGAACACGTGGAGGATGTCACAGCTGCTGTGATCCGCCAACGAGCATATCTTGGTGCTAATAAAGTATGTACTCCTTTGCTAAAAGTAAAAAAAGTTGATGGTTTTGAAAAAAAATAATCATATAAGGAAAGATAAAATGATAAAAAATATATATTATATTTTCAAATTGAGTAAATGATGCATCAAATCTTCAATACTCTTGTAGTACGGAAGATATTCCCACAATTTTTTTTTCCTTTTCTTCCTCCACGTTGAAAATGAAAATAGGATAGCCGCGATGACAGATGAAATGAAACGAATAGAAGCCTTTGCCTCAACCCATTCTCCTTTTTTTTTTCTTTTTTGTTTAAATATTAAGAGTCTATATAATTTGTTAAACATAAAAGATAATAAAACATAAATAAAATTATATTTTATTTAACTGTTTAAATAATATAAACACTTGATAAAAAAATTCAAGAAAGAATACCAATTTCTAATTTTTTTATTTGTTAGTCAACTAAAATTACAAAATTTTGGCCGTAATACAAGAGAAAAAAAGATGAATAGTCTATACTTTTTACATCACAACTTTATTAAATATAAAGTAAATTGTATTATAGTAAATCTTATTTTATTTTATTCATCAATATTACAAAAAATTTAAATTTATGCATTGGTTATTAAATACATAAAAAATATTTTGTAACTTAATTACTTGTGATAAAATATTTTATTTGTTATATTTTTTTAAATGCATCAAACCGTAACTTAAAATTTGATCGGAATTAAATTTAGAAGAAGAGAGGATGCATACAGTTTTTATAATTTGTGTCAACTTAAAGTTATTTTTTTATGAGTTGAATATATTTGTATATTAAAAGAATTAATAGAAATTAAAAATCGATATAATTCAAATGTTTAGTATTTTTCCTATGATGTTTTATCTCAAATATGTTATTCTGAGATTTGGAAAAATATAGGAAATTGTGGGAAAATTCATATTGCAACATCCCAAAACGTTCTACGTTTTTTTTTTTTCTATGCCCCAAAATATTTCCATAATTCAAACTTAAATTTTTATCATATTATATTCTAAATTGAATCAGCAAAAACTCCTGGGTACAAACTTGCGAATCCGTTTTCCTTTACCTTGATCAGAAAAGCAAAGAGAAACGGACTTGATAGTTTTCCACTAAACTCTCGATACAGTGTCTATGTAGTTTGGACCTTTGACTCGATTATTTTTTAATTAAATTTTCATTTCATTGTGAAGAGAGAGAGAGACCTCTCTCTTTGCAAATGTATTTGGAGTCTACGAAGCATTGATACTTCAAAATTCCTAACGTGTCGTGTCCGACACTTCCCGATACTCCAATACTCATTGCAGAGACTCAAAAAATGTTCAAAGTTTACGTTGCGTTGCATTTTGAGTTTCAACTATTAGATTCGTTCGATTATGATTACTATTTTATTGAGTTTAATATAAATATTTGGGATATCTTATGTTTCTTTGCAAAAGGTATTATAAGTTTAATTTTATTTTTTTGTTAAATTATTGAACATTAAATATAATATACATTACATAAATTAAAATTATATAATATCAAAACGTGTCATAACGTGTCAAAATTCAACATTTTTTAGAATTAACGTGTTAAAATATCGTGTCGTGTCATATTTCGTATCCCATTGTCAATGTGGTGCAAGATAATTTGGGTTTCAGTGCCTCGTTTAATCCTTGCAAAATAAAAAGAGGCAAGAGCTGCGAGGCTGGCAGAGTCGGTTATGAGTCATGACCACTTAAGCCCAAACAGAAGGAAAAGGCCCGCTTTGATACTTTCATTAAAATACGGGGGCAGTAGTATAATAGGCCCAATCGAAAATACACAAGAGTATCCCGAACGACCACATTAGAGAGAAAACAAAGAAAAAACATAGGGTATTAATTTTTTCATTTTACATGAGAATATTTTCTCATGTTACACACACAATTCATGAGTGGAGTCTATAAAAAAAAAAATGAGAAAACAAAAAAATTAAGATGGGTCTCACTTTTTAATTGTAAGTGTAACTTGAGAAAATTTTCTCACGTAAAATGAGAAAACTATTTCCCAAAAACATATTATAGTTGAGTTATAAGATTCTAAAATTTAAATCACTTGGAAATGCTGATTGAGTTTTGTAATTGGCCACCCTTTCATCAATTTGAGGGTAATTCAAAAGCAATAGCGTCTGCTGTTAGTTTAAATAAAGGGTAATTCAAATGAATTATTAGAGGTGTGAACGAAAATATAAAACTAAATATTGTGTGTGTAATATGCTTAGGCATATATAAGTTTTAAATGTCTGAACATTTCATACGGTGAGAGATGTGATAATAAATATAAAAACTAAACAGCGTACATATTAATTACGTGCTAAAGTTTATAAAGATCTTTACATAATTTGCCGAATTTCTGAACTAATGTTCAACAATAAAAGAAAACTAACATGTTACTCAGTTGACAACTTTATCCTCGCCTTGCCTAATTGTTGTGGTTTTCAACTTTTCATTTATCAGGTGAATAAAGTATAAATTTAATAATTTGCACAAAATATGACAAAATAGGCTATTTGAAGTTTGAACATTCATTCTCGGAGAGTTTACAGCTAAAATAACAAGTATATATGCACATAATAAAGCATAGTATAGTTGAAGGGATCGAGGATATGGAATTTACCTAACTCTTAATAATATAACTGCTTAAAAAAAGACATGGTGGTGGTGGTGGATAGTGGACTACTGTTGAGAGGAATGAGATTGTGATTTGGAATAACCATTAATGTTGCAATGAATTGAAGGAGACCGACGTTGGTTATATGTGGGATCCTCGTCTGGTCGTTTTGCTGTTTGATGAACTGCGCCGGCTTTCTTCTTCCCTTTGGGTTTATATTTGATGCTTCGAACCTTTTCTAAGGTTCCCAAAACCTCCTCCATAGATGGTCGTTTTTTTGGGTCAGGTTCTAAACATTTTAGTATTAGGAGGGCTACTTGAAACGCTGCAGTTATTGAATATTCTTCGTCCATATTTGGATCGACGATCCTTTTTAGTTTCTTTTTGTTACCTAGAGATGGTTTAGCGAAATCCACCAAATTCTGCTCACCCGTAGGCCGATTTGTGTCTAGTGCTATCAAGCCTGTTAACATTTCCAGCAGAACAACACCAAATCCATAAACATCGCTTTTTACGTAGAGATGACCTGTCAATTTCAAATTTGTCATTATATGTGCAAGCTTTCCCCACCAATTATTATTATTATTATTATTGATGAATTCTTCATGAATAAATTATATTTTTTTTTAAAGTCCAACGAATTATTAAAATCCCAACTCTAATGATCTAGTGATTCAAGTCCACCAATCTATTAGGCAAAACCTATATATATATAGAATATTGTAAGTTATATTTAACTCTTTAGCTTGATATAGGTCAAATTATATACTTAATTTGACCTCCTTTTTTTTTAAAGGCCAAATTTAATTTTTTAGTTCTTCTAAACTGATCAAGAATTAGAAAAATACTTAAATTAATATTATTATAATATTTATACTTATCTAAATAGTTATTTTATTTATTACAAAAAAAAATAGTTATTTTATTTTATTTTATATACCAAACAAAAAAATATATTTTATTTTATTTCTTTTAAAATAAATAATATAATATTGGCGTGTTTATAATGTGGTCATTGGTTAGGCAATATAAAAATAGGGTTTGCTTTTTCTGCAGTTACTGCAGATAAGTTATCTGAGTAAGCCCAATACGACGTTATTTAGGGGCAAAAATCATGATATTTTTGTAATTTTAATTTATTTCAGGATTATATAATTTTTATAATTATAATTTTTTAATATGTCACTCACAAAACGACGTCGTTTTGTGAGTAAATGCAGATAATTTATCTGCAGTAACTGCAGAAATATTTTTTTGATGAAAATAAGTGTATGATCTATTTTTTAAAGGGTTTATTTTTTCTGCAGTTACTGCAGATAAGTTATCTGCAGGAAGCTCAATACGACGTCGTTTTGGAGCGAAAATCATGGTGTTTTTATAATTTTAATTTATTTCAGGGTTGTTATAATTTTTATAATTATAATTTTCTAATATTTCAATCTCAAAACAACGTCATTTTAAAAATAAATAGAGATAACTTATCTGTAGTAATATTTTTCACTTTTTTAAATTGGTTTTTTCTTATGTCTAAGTCTATTATATAAATTCTACTGTCATAGGTCCCTGAACTATTTACACATATACCGACTTCCATATTTGATTATTGCTAAGCAATATGCTCTCGTGTTATTGGTTAACGGTAGTAATTGTACTATTAGATAATAATTATGTATAAGAAAGGGGAGGAAGCATGCGTGTACCTGTGTTCATGTATTCGGGGGCAGCGTAACCATAGGTGCCCATGACCCGTGTAGTTATGTGGGATCTACCGTTGACGGGGCCAAACTTTGCCAACCCGAAGTCTGAGAGCTTCGCATTGAAATCCTAATAAAGAAAAGTCGTAGTAGCAAAAAATTGAAACACAATTAATGATGTACACTTTTGACTGGGTACTGAGTACTATAAAAAAAAATTTATATTGTTGATCGATTCAAATAATTGATCATAACAAAACACAAAGAAACTTTACAGACATACCCTATCAAGCAAAATGTTGGAGGACTTAAAGTCTCTATAGATGACAGACTTTTCCGATGTATGCAAGAAAGTAAGACCTCTGGCAGCTCCTATGGCTATCTTAAGCCTTGTATCCCAGGAAAGTGGTTCTGGGCCTCCTGCAAATGCAACAACGTCAATCATTTAAACAAACATTCTAATAACAAGTTTCACTGTCTCAAGATGTATATATAGGTTGGTTGTTGCATTTCCTACTTCTAAAGAGGTGGCTTTCCAAGCTTCCCTTTTGCACGTATTCGTATACGAGCAGGAATTGATTTTCCTCCCAGCAGTAACCAAGTAGTTTAACCAGGTTTTGATGAGAAAACTTCCCCAAAAATTGCACTTCACTCTGCAGTACCGAAACATTATAAAACCAATGTTCAATCAAACTAAAAAGTAAAGTAGTTAAGCCCAAGCAACAAATTTCAGACATGACCACTTAATTTTTTTATGACTCATGATTACGCTTAGAGTACATTACTAATTTCTATATTAAATCACCTCTCTTAATCTTCATTTTCCTCTTAGCTAGATAGATCATTGTTCATCAATCATCTATATGATATCCACTCACAAATCCAGTGTTCATGATTAAGGTTGTCCAATACGTACGAACTTTAGGAATAAGTGGAGTTACTATTGAAATCACTACATTAATTATATTACACTGGATTTGATTTCTATAAAGTCATGGGTGGTGCATTTTATAAGAAAAGATACAGAGCTATAATTTGTTGATTGAAAAATTAAGAGAGTGAATTATTATGATTCCTATAAAATCATTGATTTTTTAAGCTCTCTTTAAAGAGTAAAATTCTATAACATAGTATATACAGCATTCAGCAAGGGAATATTTGTGATCATTGTTAATAGATGTAAATCATGTAATGATATTAATTTGAAGTATATGATATTAATTTGAAGTATTTAAAAGGACATATCGATGAGATTCATGTACACTACAATTAACGACATGTTATTATGAGAGGAATGAGAAAAGTAAGAATTACAAACCTGCCACTCTTGTAGGCCTTGGAGGCTATCGGGGTTAGATTTCTTGACAGCAACGGGGATTCCAACGCCAACTTTGGAGGGCTTGAAGGTGATGGGGTCGACCCATCCTTTGAAAACACGCCCAAAACCACCCTCGCCAAGGACCGTATCTGGTCTGAAATTTCTTGTGGCACTCTTCAACTCATCCAATGTGAACTTCTTTGGATTCGGCGTCACGATCTTTCCACTTTTTGTCCTTCCTTGATTCACCACGCTCGCGCTGTTATGTGGGCCATCATCTCTTTCTGCACGTTAATCGATGATTTCAATATTTCATGTAAATTATAAGCTAAACTAATTATATGTGTCGAGCACTCATACTAATATTTGATATTATGTAAATTGAGTTCCACAAAATTAAATTCACGGTGTTGTTTGCCTATTAACTTTTCAGTTTCCGGATAATCACATCAAACATATGATCTGATAATAAGAAAACATAAAGTACTTGTGTATGGAACTTGGAAACAGAAACTAGTTAAAATTAACGGTTTATTTTATGTGGGGGACGACATATATATCCTATCATAATCATAATCATAACCATAACCATATCATACAATACCTGCACGATAAGTGGGTGATTTATTGCTGGCAGAAGTACTCATCCTACTATCATCACCTGGCTGTCCCAAACAGTTTCCCATGATTCTGATAAACTGGTGATAAGAAAACTATACTCCCGAAAAGTCTATAAAATTGGAATTGGAAGGTTGGAAACTTATATATATGTATATTATGACATGATGTGGGACGTTCCACGAAAGAGAGGAGAAAGTGTAGAGAAAGAGCCAAGGCAGAGATAGTTAAAGAAAAGAAAGAATAGTACTTGTTGACTTTTTCCCTGTATGTATATATTGTTGTTTCTTCAGTCTTAATTTGGGTCATTAAGGTACTGAAAATATTTTCCAAACTGCCGCGGCTCAAAAAGCTCCAAACTCGCGGCAAAAAAAAATAAAATTAAATATTGCTATTTTAATAAATAATTACTTAAATATAGTCATTTTGAAATTATTTACGTAGGTATATAACAGTTAAACACTCCCCACAGGAACGTGATAGGTTGGAGAGAGACACTCTCCATTTGGGCGTGACCGAGGAGAGACACACTCTCCATTGAAGCGTGACCGAGAGAGACACTCTTCTGTGGGGCGTGTTTCACTAGGTGCTGGCATGTGACACAAAAGTCAACAGTTTGACCGTAAAATTTTAGAAGTCCATAACTTTTGACTCGAATGTTCAAATTAGATAATTTTTTTTGATTCCACATAACTTTTCGAGATCTACGTAATGACATATCATTTGGCATATTTTGTCGCTCACAAAAAAATTTGAATTTACAACAATGAATAAGAACGTTTAAACCCAAATTAATAAACAGAAAACCAATGTTATAATTAGAAACATTCATAGTAAAGATCCTTATAATTATGGTAAGTTATGATAAGGTTAGGTTAGTTGCAAATATATATGTTGTCATTCCCGTTAATCGCAGCCAATGAATATGACTTGTTTTATCAAAATTAATTATGTATGTTATTGAGGTATATAGTAAAAATTTGAATGAAGAATTTTATTAAATTTATAATTTTATCCTGTTAACGTTTGTCAGTGACAGAATATCTAATAATTTATATTAAAAATTTAAGTGAGTGCTTTTCGTTTTTATTTTGATTTTTAAGTTTTTGTTCATTATTATAAAAATGTTAGATTATTTTTAGTAATAATTATAAGGTAACAATTTTATAGTTATTTTCGAAAAGAAATTATTAACCTGAAAAAAAAAATGGAGCCTAAAAGAGTAAAATTCTAGCAAAAATTAATAACACAACTATTAGTGAATGAGAGAAAGTTCTAGCCAAAAAAAAAAGTTACCATTAATAACAATTTTTTTTCCTGTCTTTGTTTTAAAATATAAACGATATTGTAATGTTATTTTTATTATTTTTTTCCTTTTCTTTCGATGAGATACCATGAATGTTTTGATAAAATTATTAAGGTGGGGATAATTTTTATTATTTTATTATTTTAAATTACCCAAAGTTATGTCATTTTTAATAAAATTATGTCGTTTTGATATATTTTTACTATAATCATAAGGATCTTTACTATTAATGTTTCTAATCATAAGAGAGGTTTTCTCTTTATTAATTTGGGTTTAAACGTTCTTATGGTATCATTGTTGTAAATTTAAATTTTTTTGTGAGAGACAAAATATGACAAATGAGGTGTCATTACGTAGATCTCGAAAAGTTATGGGAAATCAAAAAAAAAATTATCTAATTAGGACACCCGAGTCAAAAGTTATGGACTTCTAAAATTTTACTATCAAACTGTTGACTTTTGTGCCACGTGGCAGCACCTGGTGAAACACGCCTCACAAGGGAGTGTCTCTCTCCTCGGTCATGCCCCAATGGGGAGGGTCTCTCTCCAACCGGTCACGCCCCTGTGAGACGTGTTTGACTGCTCTACCTATGTAAATAGTTTCAAAACGACTACGTATAGTAATTATTTATTAAAAAAACAATATTTAAATTTTTTTTCCTCAAACTCGCTCACGGTAACTTTGGTTTGCCACGTCAAAATCATTGTTACAGCAACTTTGGTAGCCTATTGTTTTATGACATGTGGCACAATTTTTTTGAAATTTTATTGTAAAATTTTGGAAATAATAACTTTTGGCCCATTGTCCAAAGGGGAAGGATCCGTTTACAATTTTTTTTTGAAATTTTTTACAAATTACACTATGTTCTCCCAGGAGAACATAGTGTAACCAGTGTTCTCCCAAGAGAACATAGTGTAGTTTGTAAACGAAAAAATTTGTAAATATAACCTGCCCCATTTTAGGGGAAGGTTATAATTACAAATTTTTTATCTACAAACTCTTACAAATTACACTATGTCTTATCAGTAAGACACTATTGAATGAAGTCTTACTGGTCAGACATAGTGTAATTTTTAAGTTTGTAAAAATTTTTTTGTCAATATAACTCTTATCGTTATTTTATTTATATTCTTATTTTCACTTTTCAACACTAAAAATAATCATTTTAGCGCGTAAATCTCAAAAACTTATGTGGAATAAAAAAATCATCCGATTTGGATACCAGAGTAAAAAATTATGGCTTTTCGAAAATGAATTGACTTGTTCTGTCATGTGTCAGTTTATACTCGATGTCATTGATAATGAGTTTGTTTTGTTATGTAAAGTGACCGTTTAAACTCGCTACAAGTGTTAGCAAGTTTGAAGCTACGACCCTTTGACAAAAAAATTTTAGGAGAATGCTACTATCATTTTACATAGAGTAGTTCTTTCATGTTACAGCAGTCACGTGGGGCCTATCATTAAAGGATAGAAAAACAAAAAAGAGTGAGTGAGATTTTCAATATGAGATAACATAAGATAAATGACTTTATGTAAAATGAGAGTAGTATTTTCCATTTTTTTAACCCGATAATATTCAACTAATTTTTTTAAAAAAGCGTAGCATTACGGTGAATGTCGCTAATAATTTTTAGTTCCGCATGCAGTTTGTTTTTGGAAAAAAATATTTCTCCTTTAAAATGACACAATTTATGTCATTCTACTCTTACAAAAAGATGAGACCCACATCTTTATATTTTTTTGTTCACTCTCTCATCCTTTAGCTGTCTCTTTCTCTCACTTGAAATAACATAATTTTATATCCTTTAAAATGATACATACTCCTTCTTTTGTTTTTATACTAATTCGTCTTCACCTTCTTCCGATGTGTGACTCAGAATTATTGATGCAAAAAGGGTCTCAATCCCATCCTCAAATTAAACCTCACGGCAGAGAGACTCTAGGGCCGATCACAATCTGACCTGGCCCCTCCTCTCCTCTGCTATGGCTACAATAATTACAATTTGATAACAGTGTCAGAAAAAGTCAAAAAGAGATTACAAGGCAAGTATGCAACGATATAAAAGGTTAACAGCAGCATCCTTAACAGTAAAAGAATTCCTTGCGCTGACATATTCTACAAATATTTCGTTATTTTTTAATTCTTGTATAGACTCATTCACGGACTCGGGCTAAATCAGACACTTGTAATTTGTAAACGAATCAAACGCATTACGTACTTTATTTACGTCAAATGTACTCATGTGGTCCTATTGGCAGGGGTTGATAATACTTTTTTTTTTTCCATACCTTTGGATAATTTGTTTCGAGATATTAGAGTAAATATTATTTTTGGTCCTTAGCAAATTTTACTATGCCCGTTTTAGTTCCTATCAAATAAAAAGGTCAATCGTAGTCCCTAAGAAATTCAAAATAGACTCATTTTAGTTCTTTTAGGAACTAATAAGAGTCTTTTTTAAATTTGTGAGGAACCACGATTTCAACTAAATAGATTCATTTTGAATTTCTTAGGAACCACGATGGGCCTTTTTATTTGCTAAGGACTAAAACGGACATCATGAAATTTGTTGAGGACCAAAAATGATATTTACTCAAGATATTGTTATTATTATTCTTGGGTCCATCTTTCAAGTTATTATTATTATTATTTTGAAAGGGGGGTTTACATCAAAATTACTAATTCACTAGTAAATTTTTTTATAAAAATAATGTTATAGTTCTTTGCAAATTCAGGGATAAACTTATTAATAAAAAATAGATTGTGAAATTAAAATTATATATAAAATAACTCATATTTTTTTAGTATGACAAAAAAAAAAAAAAAAGTCGGAACGTTTATTAATTTTGAGTAGCTTGTCTACGAAGCGAAGAAAGTTTACAGCATGCGTTACACATCACATATGTCCTCTTACCGTCAACCCAGCCGGCAGCCAAATAATATTAAGTTTTTATTAGTAAAAAAATTAAAAAAAATCTTTATGGTAGATATAGGTTTATGAGTCAATTGGTCAAAGAACAATAGGTAATCGTCGTGCTATATGATTACGAATCATGACCGTTCTCATTTTATTAAGATTCATTTGTTACAGCCTTACAGGTTTAACCTTGTTCTTTTTGTCCTTAGCCATGTAGTCCAACTTCAATGGTGTTTCTTTTAACCGTTTAGTAATTATTTAATAAGTTGTTTGTTCCGTAGTTCTAAAAAAGAAATTTTACATCACATCTGTTTAAGGATGAATAACAATGTCTAGGTGATGCCAAAAATGTATAAAAAATTGGCTAAATAGAAAGTTAGGATACGATAAAAGACTTTCGATTCTCAATTTTTATTAAAAAATAACAAAATTCAACTCTTACATTAAGAGTTTTAAGGACCTTTTTATAAACTAATTACAAATTGATCCTAAATTCTTAAAATAAATATAAAGGTAATTAAGTTATAAAAATAAATAAATAATTACATTTAAAACACATTTCAAATAATGCCAAATGTGTTGCTTATTTTTTCTTGCTAAACAAATCATAATCATATATGTTTTTTCATTTAGACTTAATTTGATCGTAATTTACTGCTTCTTTTAACAATTAAGCTATACTTGATTATTGGACCATAATTTTGATTGACTCCGAGTTTCCTAAATCAATAATTAAGCCATATGCAATGAATAAACTGTAAGTGCATCAGTGCGTGCAGAGGCTAATAGTTCTATCAACGAAGCAAGTGGAAGGGATAACTGACAATAATAAATCCAACACCTCTAGCCAAAGTCTGATGGGTAAACAACAAAGGGGTGTGTA